GTCCTCAGTCATTTAGCACAGGGGTAGTCATCACAAATGCTGTGGACTGCAACTGTCATCTGCTCCAGCTATAGCACAGCCCATGGGCAGAGATGATGGGAGTTGTAGTCCACAACATATGAAGGGCACCATCTAGGCCAGTGTTCCCCAACCTTGGGCCTCCAGCTGTTTTTGGACTACAACTCCCATCATCCCTCGCTAGCAAGACCAGTGGTCAAGGATGATGGGAATTGTAGTCCAAAAACAGCTGGAGGCCCAAGGTTGGGGAACACTGATCTAGGCTACTCCTGATTTAGGGCTTTAAAGATAACCACCAGAATATACCCCAAGGTGTCTGCTTCCTGTCTTGCTTTTAAGACCTTTCTCCCTTGAATAGTACTATAGAATACGTCTAGTATTGGGAATGTTCTGTCTCTGAGGAAGAGAAGCCATTTTCTTTCTCAGCTGTGGACTGTCATGGGCTCAGTGCAGTTGGTTTTGTATATCGGTAATAGATTTTGCAAGAACCGTCTTGAAAGTTGATGCGGCTTTTATACATCCCACCTCCTCCATCTAATTTTTATGAGCCTCCTTTCAGAGGACTTGGATTTTAAAACTCTGCTTCACTTGCTGTGTAAAGTCCTGGAAGCCAAATCCTGACATTTCAATGATGGAGTGGAATTCTTGAAAGGAATATGAACGCTCCAAGTGCTCTGTATGTTTGGACAGAATCCCTTTCTCCCCAATCGCTTCTTCATTCTTGATTAGACGATGAGCAGCCTTTTAACGTATCTGGTAATTGATTACCGATCTAGGAACACGCTGCTACAATACTGGGCTACATTAATGACCTCATTCAATCACACATAGTGTAATTCTTGTGGTTGGAATGAAAATAATATAAAATATTGCCTTAGCCCCAGTGAGGCTTTAATGCCATATCTCAAGACATCATTTGTTTTGGGAAATCCAATGAGTATTAAATTACATTTTTTAACTAGAAAAACATTTCGTTGAAATATTCACACAGAAACTCAATGCCATTAGCACTGTATTCTTTACTTTGGGACCTGGGTGTTGTGTTGGAGCAGATGTTTAACCACAATTGTGTCAGATTCCCCCCCCCCCGCCGCCGCCATGTAGCTGCAATAAAATTAGGGCTCAGCTCAAATTACTCACAGGTTTTCACAATTTTTTTCCAGCATTGTTGGGTAACGTCTCCCATATTTGGACAGTTTTTGAGGCTTCTGGATAAATGTTGGCACATTCATTTGTATTGTCCTGACTAGTTCTTCCCTGAACGGCCCTCAGGGAGATCATCATTTAGTCAAAACTGATTGGATATGCAGAATTATGACTACATCCTGTTCATAACATGATATCTGATTCTCCAAATGATCCACCTCCACTCTTAAGAGGCAGTATTGCTGGAAACCCTGTGGAGAGAGGGCCATTGCACTTAGATCCTGTTTGTGGGCTTCCTACGGATCTGGTTGGCCACTGAGACAATAAGATGCAGGACCTGATGAGCTTTGACTTGATCCAAAAAGGTTCTTCTTATGTTCTTATGATCCATGATCCAAGAAAGAAGAAGCAACATCCATAGGAAACAACGGTATTGAATCAATGAGGGAAAGGTACACATCTTCACAATTAACAATGGGGGTTCAATTATTCCTGCCCAGCAAAACAGCTATGATTAACTTGAAATTAAAACTGTAGAATATTCAGCAAAGATCTAAATAAAAGCAGGATTCCATCAGCAAGCCCTCAGTTTCCTCACCCCTATATTAAAAGCTGACCTATTTGCAGGGGCATTATGAGCCTACCGTTCTTGGGCTGCAAAATATGCTTCATAGTTCTGCTAATCAAATTTCAGCCTTATTTATGGAAATTTGAATTAGAACTGGTGATGCAAATAGCACAACGGAGCATAATGAAGATGCCATGGAATGCCGTCTAAGGAATTTGGTTTTGTCTCTGTTCGTCATAAGCAGGCTGGCAGACCCTTGTCCTGTCAGCTGTCACTCTCTCTCCTCACCCTTGAAAGCTGTCCACAGCAATCAAGCTGTCCATGGCAATCTCTTGCAGCATCCCCTGTCTTATACCACAATACAATGAAATATTTATTAGACTGCGACCAGATTTAATAGAGAATGGCTGCAGAGTTTCTCTTGTTTATTAGATGGAATTACAGGAGAAGTAACCTTACAAAAGGACGCGGGTGGCTCTGTGTGTTAAACCACAGAGCCTAGGACTTGCTGATCAGAAGGTTGGCAGTTTGAATCCCCGCAACGGGGTGAGCTCCCATTGCTCGGTCCCTGCTCCTGCCAACCTAGCAGTTCGAAAGCACGTCAAAGTGCAATAGATAAATAGGTACCACGTCGGTGGGAAGGTAAACGGTGTTTCCGTGCGCTGCTCTGGTTCATCAGAAGCGACTTAGTCATGCTGGCCACGTGACCCGGAAGCTGTACGCCAGCTCCCTCGGTCAATAAAGCAAGATGAGCGCCGCAACCCCAGAGTTGGCCACAACTGGACCTAATGGTCAGGGGTCCCTTTACCTTTAACCTTACAAAACTGTCTTTAGAGTATTTTCTAATACACAGGAATGGGTTTTTATTAAAATTAATTTGCTTGATTCACTAGAACTGCTCTTCTCCCCGGATGGTACTGATACAGAACTACTCTTCTCTCCAGCATATTTGGACAGGAGGTGTAGGAAACAGCCAGTTAGCGAACGTAAAAGAAAGCCGCCTAACATCAAGGCAGAACAGCTCAGGTCCATCCAGCTAGCTCTCCAAGTTCTTCCCAGCTCTACCTGAAGATGATGAATGGCAGCTAAAGTTTCAGCAAGGATTCTTTGTAAGTCTTACCTGGCAATGCTGGAAACTGAACCTGGACCTTCTGCATACAAAGCACCTGCTCTCCTACTGTGCTACAGGAACCCACAAATCTGCTTGCCAGAGATGTCAAGGGGAGGGTTGCCTCCTCCATCTGCTAAACTGTGCAACAACTGAACTAGCAGAAACCCACAGAGGAACAGATTGCAAAATCTACTGTGCAACAAAGTTACCAGCAACTTGCTTATGCGTTTTCTTGCTGTCAACATCCTGCTAGCACAAAACATTTCACCAACGGGACAACAATACCACCAAGTGAAATATATCTATCTGGTCCTATCTTGCTAGAATGACACATTTTTCATTTGGGTTTACTCCCTGTAGTATTTCACCTTTCATTTATTAAATACACACATACATACATATATCCCCAGAGTCTCTTATTTTTCACATTCCCATCAGACTCCTGAGTGGTTTTGACAGGCTCATTATTGCCCCCCACATCCCATTCTCCAAAGGTTGAATTCATGCCGCCGAAGGGGAGAATTTCACCACCTGGAACTCAATAGATGTCGAAGGAACAAATCCAAAGCCTCACTAACATTTGAAGGGTCCCTTTTGGATATGGCCACCCAGTAATTTATTTTACAGATATATTTTCAGCCCCTTAGACAAGTCAGAGAAAAAGAATACTGGAAAAACTGGGTACTTAATCAGAAATGATATGTAATGTGGCTTTAGTAAACATTTAGTTTGCAAATGGTATTCTGTAAAAGAAACCACAAAACAGAAAACCATATATGGAGAGGATGGGTGCCTTTTTTCAGGGGGTCATCAAGGGTACGCAGTAACAGCACCTCTTTTTCTTTTGTTAAAACGTGTGGCAGTTACTGTAACAACTTCATGGTGAGTACCTATTTTTCTAGGGGGGGGGAGCACCGGAAAGGATTAATGTATGGCCAAATCCTGATCACAGATGCATGCTCAATGCATGTGTCTGATGTTGAACGTATCGCCCAGGATTCTACCCACCAGAACCGCAATATCCTGCCTAGGTGAAATGCATTTTCAAAGGAGGCTTCAAATGAAAAAGAGCAGCGATGGCACCCAACTTTGCCTTTTTGTACTTCCATTACCATTTCTTTCAGCAACATTTGTACTGTGGGTGCAACATTAGGGGTTTACACTAGGGGTGCAACATTTATCAATCAATTCGGATCATTGATTAAAAACTTGTCAAGCAACTATATCAACACCTAGATTGATCAGGTAACACAACAACAACAACAACAACAATAATAATACCAAGTACTTATTAAAAATTGCAGATAGTGGACACCATCTTAGAAAAGTAGTTGCTCTTTCACTAACACGGAGGAAGGAGTGACTCTTCTAAAACGTATTTTCTCCCTTCAAGACTACTGCTTCAGCCACAGTCGGACTAATGTGGGTATAATACATTAATCAGTCGATTAAAACTCATTTATTTGGACTAATATTTCTTTAACTAGCCACAGTCATAGTGATTACATCTGGTGCACTTTTAATTTGTACTGTATACCAATAGAACTAACCGGTGTTGAAGGACAACAACGGTGTCTGTGGTGATGTCAGCTACAATCCTGTGCATACTTTACTGGGAATAAGTCCCAGTGAATACCGTGGATTTACTTCTGAGTAGACATGTTTAGGATTGTGCAATCAAGCCCTTTCACCCAGGTTGGAGTCCCACTAAATACCATGGATTTATTCCTGTGTATACATGCATAGGATCATGATATTTTGCCTGTTCATCTAGGGTGGAAAAAAGTTCTTTATTTCTTTTAACTGATATCACCTTAACAAAATATTAATATTAAAAAATAGGGTGGAGAAAAGTTACAGCTTATTTTGATTTAGATCTCATGTAATCGATTGATTTTTTTTGAAAGAAGTGCATAACTTTGCACATCAAGGATATTTTTTTAAACAAAGTTCAAGTAACCTCAGAGTAGAGCACTCCTTTTGAAAGCAAAAACAAACCCACAACCCAACAGCTTACTTAAATGTGGATGATCTAATTGGGAGCTCTAAACTATTCACTTCTCAAAGTATATTTGCTCCTGAGAAAACACACACACACACACACACACACACACACACAAATGTGCTCTTTTGCCACTGTGGAAGCCAAGGACTGACCTGCCCCAGCATGTCTGGTGCAATCGGAATGATGGGCCAGATGGTGGAGTAGACTCCGAAGAAGACCAGCCAGAGCAGCATGCTTCCCCAAACAGCCAAGTGACTGAACTGCAGGGAAAGAGAAACAAATCAAGACACACAGCACAGCCTCCTCCTGCCCCCACACTTGACTCTCAGGTATTATTTTACTTCCACCTAAGGCTTTTGTCAGTCTCACTCCGGGCTGCCTAACACGCTTTATTTTCAGCCAGCAGCAAGATTGATTAAACGGCTTGGAAGAGTCCTGTGTTAAAAGCCTTTTTGTGTGAAATGCAGCACATTGCTTTCAAAGCTAGCTTATCCCAGGCATTTAAAAACAAAACAAACCCCTAACCAACCACGTCCCCCTGTCTCCAAGAATCTAGCTCAGAGAGACAGGGTAGGAGGCAGCAGAGGTAGGATTCACCCAGTCTCTAGTGGGAGAGGTGGCAGTAAGGTTCCCAAACATTGCTCCCTTGGTTCCACAGCCTCATCCCCCAGTGCCTCCCATGAAAAGAATTATTCAGCATTACACTTTGCACAACCCAAGGATAACACAATAAAATCCAAAACTGTGACCATTAATTGCACATTTATTTAAAATTCAATCAAAACTTTATGCAGTGGTACCTTGGTTTACAAATTTAATCTGTTCCGGAAGTCCGTTCTTAAACCAAAGCATTTTTAAACCAAGACGTGCTTTCCTATAGCAGCGGGGGACTCAATTTACAAATGGAAAACACTCAACAGGAAGTGAAACATGTTCTTATTCTAAGGCAAAGTTCACAAACCAAAACACCTACTTCCGGGTTTGCAGCGTTCGCAATCCAAGTTGTTCATAAACTAAGCTGCTCTTAAACCAAAGTACCACTGTAGTTTAATTAATGCAACGAGATTGATGAACTTGACCCAGTGATCCCAACGTCTGATAGAAATGTATACTTCCAGTGCCCTCTAGCCACCTCAATGACTCTTCGCAACCCCGCCCCAGGCAATCTCACACCCCCCCCGGGTTGTACCACTTGCTATGTGAACCACTGGGTTAAGTGCACTGGCAGAGCCAGTCCAGTGTTCCCAGCTGTGTGTGTGTACCACACTGACCTTGCTGGTGCATTACTGCTCCTCTTCTAACCCCTGCCCCACCCCCAGGAAGGAGCAGGGATAAGCCGACCATAGGTAAGGTGGGCTATAGAGATGCAATTTAGAAATGTAAATGCAATAAATTTAAACTCAATCCAAACCAGTGTGCTTTGGAACATACCCAGAATTACACCTGGATGTCAGGGAAACATCTGTATTTTGAATATTTATAACACACACACACACACACACACACGTCACTCTGGCTTTTGTGTTAATCTTTGGAAATACAGAAAGCATCTTTGACACCAAGTTTTTCTTTCCCTTTTTTTGGTTCAAGTATGTCTATATCGTACTTTGGCTTTGGTGTTAATTTTTGGAATGGTAACAAGCGTTAAGCAGCATAATGTTTTCTGTCTCTTTCCCTTAAAGTGTGTTTGGAAGAATAATAGCAATACTCGTTTTCATTTTTTTTAAAAGTATTTTGAAAACAAGCGTTCTTCATCGAATGGACCACATGGGACCCACATCAATCTTTGTTTATTTTTAAAGCCCTCGGACAGTTTCTGAGCTTTGAAAACAATTCCTCCCTGAAAACAGTTCCCAAAGTTTCTAACAATAGTAAACTAAATCAAAATCACCATCATGATTAAGGAGTAAAACTGCTAAAACATACAAAACCCCAATCACTATAACACAGTAAACATTGACAATTAAGAAACCACACACATTTCTTTTAATTTTGGAAATTCCCGCAGTGCAATCCTATGTCCATTCAGTAGCAGAATCACAGAGTTGGGGGCAGGGGTGACCTCAAAGGTCATCTTATCCAGACCCTCCTAATGCAGGAAATCTGCTATGAGTTAACTGAAGTTCAGACTGGCATCCATTGGCTGGAACACCAACAGTGGGCGGAGCCAGAGCTGATGACAGGCAGAGTCAAGTGCTTCCTTTAAGCAAGCAAGGGACCACCTCTTCTCGCAAGGAGGCATTAATCACATCCCTGGCCCAGCCAGCTGTCCCCTTCCTACTAGTTGTTATCAGCCCAGAGGGGCAAGAGTCCAGAGCGCAAGTGGTTGTTGCCCTGACCAATCCAGGCACCTTGACCACACCCTCAAGCCTTACTAACTGAAACTCATCCAATATAGCAGGACTTGATTGCTCTGGATGCTTCTCCACCCCCCGTCGTCTCCATCCCCATCATTCAGCCCGGACACTGAGGTCCAGCGCCGAGGGCCTTTTGGCAGTTCCCTCACTGTGATAAGCGAGGTTACAGGGAACCAGGCAGAGGGCCTTCTCAGTGGTGGCACCCGCCCTGTGGAATGCCCTCCCATCCAATGTCAAGGAAATAAACAACTATCTGACTTTTAGAAGACATCTGAAGGCAGCCCTGTTTAGGGAACTTTTTAATGTTTGATGTCTTATTGTATTTTTAATATTTTGTTAGAAGCAGACCAGAGTGGCTGGGGAAACCCAGTCAGATAGGCGGGGGATAAATTATTATTATTATTATTATTATTATTATTATTATTATTCTCAATATTCATCTGCTGTAACGGTGGAGTCAACATCCTGTTGGATGCAAGCGATTTTATCCTCAGAATGCTTGACAAACAAGTCGCAGCGAGCTACCATAAAAAGCCACAAAAATGTTAAAAACAGGCATCAGCTAACCATTGGGGAAGGATGTAGTCTTAATTGCCTGTAAAGGCCTGGCAGAATAGAGAAGTTTTTTTAACAGGCATTTAAGAGTTGGCACAGAAGGGGCCTGTTGGGACAGGCAGGAATGGAAGGCAAGGAGACCCACAGAAGGTGGAGCTGAAGCCTTGGCCAATGACAGCGAGAACCAACTAGGTGTAGCTTTGCCCCCATCCTCCTTCTGGCTGAGTTCTACAAGGGCAACACTGACACTGAGGAGGAGGAAGCAGACATCCTGGGCTGGTTGTAAGCAGGAAGTGGAGGCTAAGGGCAGGCTGAGGTTGGTGAGGCAGTGCCCCATTTGTCCTAATGTATCAGCCTTTGCGGCCCAGTAGCTTTTCATAGACCGCATGCAGTTGCATAATGCGCCGTGGCAAAGGGCGCTGTTTTGCTCCAGCATAATAGCAAACAGTTCTGAACTTCCGTGCATGTCGAAGAACATGCAAACAACTGGAGACCTTTCTTCTCTGCTGCACTGAGCAACGGCTACTGTGCGCTCCCCCCGAATTTATTTATCCAAGCGTTTCATTTCCCTCTCTCCTATCCTCTCATTCAGCAGCGAGAGTTTCTCACTCCTGAGACTAAACTGAATGTAACCAATCCACCCGATGATGGAGGTGAGGCTTAAGTCGGTGGCACGCTCTCAATACTTCTCAAGTGCTCGGAGGAAGTCTTTCCCAGAGTGAGTAAGCCACAGCTGAAACAATAAGGCTTGCCAGAAATGGTGTGAGAGAGACTGGGAAGTGGGCTTAGAAGAAAAGGCAACTTGAAGAAAAAAAAAAGCATGAAGGAAGCACACCTACATATCAAGTTTTTAAAAAAGAAAAGGAAAAACACCAAAGTTGTTTTTTTTTTAAATACTCCCCAAAATTCCTCTCTCTCTTTCTCTCTCTCTGTGTGTGTTTCCAAATGCTTCACCAGAGCCTTTTTGGGATGAATCCTGATAGCAGAAGGCCAGTAACTGTTGTATTTTCAGTCATGGGGAGTGGAATTAGATAAGAGAAGCATCATGCTATTCAGCATTTAGTAAGAATTAAAAAGGCACCGTATACCTAAGTAATGTGATTTGTACACAAATAAACTTTTCGAAAGGGCAGGCTTAGACTGGTTAGGCAATATTTGAAAGCAATGCACAAGGACTTATATGAAAGATATTTCATTTTCCTTGAGGTTCACCCTCCCTTGTGGAAAAGGCAGGGAGCAATGCAGTTGTGCCACATACTTGCTATGACACATCTTTTCCCCGAATTCAGTATGATAAATAACCCAGGAAAACACCTCACCTCCTGGTTTCATACCGCCAGCTCAAATACCTCTTCTACTCATAAGCACATACACAAACACACCATTTACCACAATTTTAATTCCCTGTTATGGTATGCTGAAGGGAGTTAGGATACTACTAATTTCCATAAGTGATCCCAAGTTATGCACAAATCAACTGCCTCCCCCTTCCGTGTCATCAGAGCAGAAAACCTGGGAAGTTTAGCATTCACCTAGGCATATGCCAAGATATCCTTTTTTTCCAGTGGGGATGCGTTATATGTAATCGGTAGTGGCCAGTGTAGTGAGGCAGAGCAGTGAAGTTGCACTCCTGACACTGGTATTGCTGCAGCTCACTGCACAGGGCTAGGGAAGGGCAATGAGCACGCCAAGGCTATATGGACACACTGGAGGAGCCCAATCTAACATTCCCACTTGTGTGTCTGCACACTGCTGTCCTTGCAGTCACCTTGCTCCCCCGCCCTTGTTCAGGTAAGCTGCAGCGATGTCAGTGCTGCAAGATCTTACCCACTACACCAGAGGCCACAGTGCAGTAGTCTTTTGTAGACTGCATGTACTAGCATAATACGCAGTGGCAAATAGCACTGCATTGTGCCCCTGTAATAGGAAATCGTTCTGATATTTTGTGTGTGTCAAAGAGTCTGCAAACAATTGGAAGGCTTCCTTCTCTGATGTGCTATATAAGTACAGTGGTACCTCAGGTTACGTACACTTCAGGTTACAGACTCCGCTAACCCAGAAATAGTGCTTCAGGTTAAGAACTTTGCTTCAGGATGAGAACAGAAATTGTGCTCCGGTGGAGCAGCAGCAGCAGGAGGCCCCATTAGCTAAAGTGGTGCTTCAGGTTAAGAACAGTTTCAGGTTAAGAATGGACCTCTGGAACGAATTAAGTACTTAACCCGAGGTACCACTGTATAATAGATGCCTTCCTTTTCTTTGCTCAGTAATATTAGGAATAAGGGGAGAGTGCAGGTTGAAACATTTCTAATACTTACTTTTGTCCATGCTGTGGTTTCTAAGCCAGCTTTCAGACAGACGGTCACCACAACATACTGCAGAGGTAGAGGGAGAGAGAAATGTTAGGAAAAACATTTAATCCCAGCATGCATTTCCCATTCACACTTGCTTCGCCCTCTCTGGCTTTTCAAAAAGAAAGCAATAGCTGAACAATGTAGGAACCAGGTGCCGTTTTACTTTTAAATGTTGCAGTGTGTTCAACGCATTTCAGAAGTACAGCAGGGGGTTTAAGGAAGCTGTTTACAAAATGGTGTAACACATGTCCTGATGGGAATGCCTAGAGACCCTGGGCACAACTGGCATCATGGGAAATGCTCAGACCAGTTCAGCCAAGTGGACAAGGTCCAAGTCTGCACAAGATGGTAAGTCAAACAATGGGACTGTGCAAACATGCTGGCTCTGAGAGAGGAGCTCACATTTGATTTGCTCCTTCTGGGTCATTTTAGCTTAGTGCAGCATGGCAGCTAAGCCCAGGTTTGGCTTAGCATATCGTTTGAACCTGGGTATGTGGTTAAGGTTCATGCAACATATCGCAAAACTGGGGAATTCACTCCCAGAAGAGGTAGTGATGGCAACCAACTTGGATGGCTTCAAAAGAAGATTAGAAAAATTCATAGAAGAGAAGGCTATCAATGGCTACCAGCCACAATGGCTATGTTCTGCCTCCACTGTCAGAGGTGGTATATACTGGGGAATACCAGTTCATGGGAAATTCTCAGCCGCACGAACAAAGACCATGTGCAGTATTGTGGCTGGATTTTAGCAACTTACCGTATAAACTATATTTCCAACAAACAGGTAGTCTACACTCTGGCCACTTGCAAATACCGCGTCTGGAAAAGAAGAAGAAGATAACAAATATTAAATATTTCATTTGCCCAAGGAGATATTATTGTTTTTTAAAAGGCTATTTAAGATTTTCAAATGGTTTGAATAAAATTAAGTAAAATGCAACCATGAGCAATTTTTTAAATATCATCTCAATTCACAGAATACCTTAAAACTAAAGAGGAGATTGGGTTAAGAAGAGAAAGAGAGCTAAAAAACAGATTAAAGGAAAAAACATTAGAAAGGTGTATGTAAACATGCCAGCTCACATTTAACTGGTGGCGCAGCATGAACAACATCATTCCTTTCTGCAAAGGTAGTGAAAGGTAACCAAGCGACTGGGAAACATTCAGCATGAGCCTGAACGCACTTTTAACAGCCTGATGTGTTTTTGAAACATGTCTCCTGGATTTCTCTTTGTAGGGAGGATAAATTTTGCATACTGGGTTTCTCAAAGCTCTTTCAAAAGCAGCGCATTGGAAGCAAATAGTGTAATGACTGTCTTGGCCAATGCTGAAGCTATTAAATGTTCAAAAATAGCGTACACACACACACACACACACACACACACATCACCATTAGGAGTTGTTTGAGCAGAAGGGGGAATTCCTGCCAAGAACAAATAATCAAAATATCTATAGGAGATGAAGAATTCCAGTTACCACATCATCTTTGTGCCACTGTGCTGCATACAGATGCAGTCCTGCTATATGTGCTTTTATTTTAGATTCCTTTGAAGTGAGGGGATATTTTTTACCCCAAAGGTTACCGAAAGAGAGAAGAGAAGCAAAAATCTTCCCTTTGGTGCATATAGCTGCTATCTTAAAAAGCTATTGGAGGGTGTTAATGGCGAAAAGGGACCGGGCATCTTATATTCCAACACCCTTTCTCCTGTCTGTAAGTACACAAAAAAGGCGAATACGTGTTAATTTAACATATGGAGGTGCCAAACTTGGCAATACTTCAAGTAGCCAAGTTTATTCGTGCTTAGTTCCTGCTGAGGAAAAAAGAAGAAGGGCTCCTATGAAAAAAGGAACACATGGCAGCTGTAGGAATTCTCAAATTAATCCAAAAAGGGCTGTAATTCAGAAGGATTACACAACCATCTCGCTTCAACATGGCAGCCAGCGACACACGTCTGCCTAGGTGAGGCTGATCTAAAGCAGAAACCCAGAGCCACAATCTGCAAGGTGATTGTTGCCTGAAAGAGGGAGTTATGCCCTTGCTTGAATGAAATAATGACGACAACAAATTCCTCATGAATTATCATTTTATCATGGTTATTATTACCGTTAACGTGCTTTAAGTTTGCATTCTGCGTTTCGATCTAAAGGTTTTCAGGGTGGTGCCTAGCAATTCATTAAAATTTATTAAAACGCCCAAATCAATACAAGGGCTACAAACTTCAGACATAAACATCTCAAGAAATCCAGACAACTAAGAAGCAATCTGTCTCTTGTGCCAGCCAAAGCCATAAACCGGAGAAAATAAATGTGTTTTAATCTGCCACTTAAAAACAGATACTGTAGGGGACAACAGTGATGACATGGTACTTCCAAGTCACCAGGTGACAGACCCCAGCAGCTTCATATAGATATTAAAAAGCATCAGGGATTGAATGCTAGCCTTTGGGGCCCCACAGCAGAAAAGTGTTGTGGAGCAGAGAAGGCATTTCCCAATGTTACTCTTTGTTATTGGTCCTGCAGTTCAGAGTGGAACCACCCTAAAAGTGCCTCCAGCTCCCAACCCACAGACCTGATCCAGGAGGGTACATCTGTCAATATTGAATAATGCTGAGAAATAAAGAACCAAAAGGGTTGCATTCTCCTTGTCCCTCTCTTGATAGCAGCTGTCAATTTGGGTGATCAACGACATTTCCATGGCATATCTGGGCTGGGAGTGAGACTGAAATGAGTCTAGATAATCAGCTTCGTCCAAACATGCTTGGAGCTGGCCACCAACGTCTCAATCAGCTTGCCCCAAAAAGTGACTCACCATCACCTCCTTCAGGATGGTTGTGAACACCCCTTCCCTGAGAATTAGCGACTTCATGGTCACAGCATCAGTCTCCATCAGCTACATGGGTCTAGTGTTTTTAACTATTTATGTTCTAGGGCAGCGATGGAGAAACCTACTGCAGAGTGATTTATCCACCCACCCACCCACCCATTCATTCATTCAATACAGCAGGGGTGGGGAACCTGTGGCACTCCAGATATTATTGGATTGCAGCTTTCGGCATCCCTAGTCAATGGCCATGGTGGCTGGGGCTGATGGGAGTCCAACAACCTCTGTATGGCCAGAGGTCCCATATTTCTGCTCTAGAGTCGTTTCACACACTGACCAGGATCCAGAGAACTCTTAATGTGAATTCAAAACATGGAAAAAGACACAGCAGGGCTCTCTTTATTTGGCACTCATATGTGTACCTCATCACTGGAGATAGGCAAATCTGTCAATGTTGGTTTCTCTCTATTTCTCTTTACCAATCTTAAGTTCTCCATGTTTCCAAATCAATTAGTGAACTACTTTTTTAAAAAGCCCTCCAGAGAATTCATTAGCATTTTGAAATGAATTTATCCCAACATGCACGTGTTTATAAGCACGTTTTGCCTAACACACACGTTTGCAACCAAAGTTTCTTTAATTTATTGCATTTTTGTATGTTATTTTCACCAGTATATGCATCTTTAGGGACACTTTACCCCACTACATGCATTTTTGCGTAGCTTATTTGGCTTGAGAACCGCATTGCAAAATTCAGAGAAGTGCAAATTTCAAAAAAGTGGCTGTGTTTTGGTTCTCCTTTGTTTCAGAAAGTGAGAATTGGGTGGGTTTTCCTTTAGGTGCTGAATGAATCAAATCCCCCCACCCACCCAATCCCTGCTCATCACCAGCCTATCCTGATAAGGTATAATTGAAGAATGTTGCTCATGCAATCACATATGTAGTGTGTAAGTTTTTAAATGCCATGAAGAAATCTGGTTAAGTCCAAGTACATTTGGAGAATTTCAATGTCAGAGTTGCATCTGTAAGTTGTATTTTGTAATATTATGACCTTGCACTTTTGGAATCCCAGGGCCCTACAAAAGAAGAAGAAGAAAAAGAAGAAGAAGAAAAACTTCCTACAATTGTCAGGGATGGTCAGGATGTGCTGTGAACACTTATTTGTAAGACTGCAGAAGCACTCCTTCATTGGCCATATGCACACTGCATCCTAAAGAGCTCAAGAGGTTAAAGGACATACCAGTGCGAATGATGTATTTCTTTTCATCTGAAGTTTTAAAAAGTGTTGCCTCAAACATAAAAAGGGATAAAAGATCTATATCCACCTCTCCCTGAATAGCAAAGCAGCCAGGGTTCTTCACTTGGTAATGTGTTGGTTTTTGAAATTATTTATTTATCGATTCCAATTTAAATCTCCAACACATCTCAAGACGGCATCCTAAAACCAGTAATATTCTAAATGGATCTAATAATTAAATTCATGACTAACATGAAAGCTGACTCTCAATATGGAAAGGGGAAAAAACTGAAGTTTAGGAATAGGGATAAATGCTTATATATATAGTGGTACCTTGGTTTGCATACGTCTTGGTTTGCATACGTTTTGGATTACAAACACGTCAAACCCGGAAGTGCGTGTTTTGTATTACAACCCAATTTTTGGGGGTCGGATTACGAACTAAAAAATTTTGGAGGCCCTATTGGCGAAAGTGCGCCTTGGGTTACAACCTGTTTTGGTTTACAAACGGACCTCCAGAACCGATTACAGTTGTAAACCAAGGTACCACTGTAATCATATAACTCTGGCTGCATTCAATTACATTGAGTTAACTGGTCATTTTTATAGAGACTTATTCAAAAAAGTATATTTGAACTTCACAAAGATGAGCTTCTGTTAATTGACTAAAATGAAATCCCATGCCTTAAACTGCCATCACATGCACACTTTCCTGGGAGAATGCCTCATTTATCTCAGTATGCCTTATTTTATATGCCTGTTGTCTTTGTCCATGGAGTTTTCTTGGCAGGGATACTGGAGTGGCTTGCCGGTTCCTGCTCCACGTTTGGACAAAACTCTCCACTATGACCTGTCCATCTTGGGTGGCCCTGCACGGCATAGCTCATAGCTTCTCTGAGTTATTCAAGCCCCTTCACCACAGCAAGGCAGTGATCCATGAAGGGGATCACTCTTGAGAGTCCCATGGACTGCAAGAAGATCAAACCTCTCCATTCTGAAGGAAATCAGCCCTGAGTGCTCACTGGAAGGACAGATCCTGAAGCTGAGGCTCCAGTACTTTGGCTACCTCATGAGAAGAGAAGACTCCCTGGAAAAGACCCTGATGTTGGGAAAGATGAAGGGCACAAGGAGAAGGAGACAACAGAGGACGATTCCTCCTATCAACAGCCATTCACTCAAGAAATTGGAATAACATGCAGAAAGCCAGCACAAAATGGAGTCTTCATAGGATCAGCCTACTACATATACAGTCCTTGTAATAATCACATTAAAAGAGCAAAAGGTTGTGTGAATCAATATTAAATCAATGCAGCTGCATGTAAAGACCCCCTGAATCATACACTTACAATCTCTGGGGGTTGGGAAGTGCTATCTACCGAAGGCTGCATGCAGACAGGGTAGATTTGGAAGGTCACTGTTGATAAATGTCCGAGCTTAGAGGCTGGTGGTCTGTCTGCCATGATTAATTTCCTAACAACCTGTTGTGAACCGCAATCACATTGGAGCTGGGCCACAAAGGCTGACATTCAGGAAAGAATGAAGCACTTACCATGTTCCAGGGCTTTTAATGGAAACCAAAAGAGAATGATGGAGTGGATCAAAGCATTGATGCAGTGACCCCAGAACACCTAAGGAAGCAAAAGAAGAAAGTCAGGGGGGCTGACCAAACTCTCAAAGGCTGTTTAACTCCCTATCAAATGATTCATTACACACACACAAAACATTAAATTTTATTTTAAAGGCTTTTTAAAAAAAAGCAATACCACTAAAGCTAGTATTAAAATTCAAAAATCGTCAATCCAAATGGAGGTCCCATCTGCTATACAGTGGTACCTCAGTTTTGAACATAATCCGTTCTGGAAGACCATTCAAAAACCAAGGCGCAAAGGGCAGTCTGCAAATTCAATAGAGAAAATTGGGAAAAAAACTCAGCGGAAGCTGTTTGACTTCCAAAGCGCATTCAAAAACAGAAACATTTACTTTCTGGTTTTCGGCGTTCAAAAACCAAAACGTTCAACTTCCAAGACATTCGAAAACCGAGGTACCACCGTACATTTAAAGCATCACTATGCTACTTTAAGCAGTCATGGCTTCCCCCAAAGAATATTGGGAAGGGTTGCTTGTTAAGGGTATTTAGGGTTCTTAGGAAGCCCCTATTCCTCCCACAATTCCCAGAGTTCCCTGGGAAGAGGGATTGTCAAATTATTTGTCTTTTAATTTTTTTTTTTTACTGCATGGAGACCCAGAGACTGCAGTCCATAATAGAACAGAGAAATGGGATACAGATGTAAGAAAACAAATAAACAATAATTTCTGAAGTTATATTTCTTGGCAGAGGCGAAACATCATTGCAGTTATGTTTTCTCTCTTTATTTCTATTATCCTTTCCCCACTTTAATATAGTAATGTGTTTGTATGTTACATTGGATTCTTGTTTTCTGCTGGTTTCTCCATATGGGAAGACCAAGGGAGTCATAAGTCTAAAAACTCAGGGCCAAAACTAGATCTTGACATTTCTATGCACAAATGCAGTCTGTGTTCATGTTTTTATTATGCAAATAGAAATTGTGGGAAAGCCCAAGCAGCCTCAGGACTGGGCAATGAGAGGAAGGGGTGCTTAACTCTTTCACACCCTGCCAGTTCTGTCAAAAAATGCCTCTCTGAAGCTGCTATTTGCATTTCAAGGGAAGCTCCCATTGTCTTCAATGGAGGCTTCCCATGAAATGCAGAAAGGGATAGAGTCAAATCTCTTCTCCCTACCTCCTGTGGTCTGAGGCTGCTTTAATTGCATTAAATTCACATCATGTCAAGTTGGAGCCTCATCATTTTGGGGTGGGGGTGTTAATGAGACTCCCTAAATTTGATTGGTTAAAAAATATATTGGGGTTATAAAACCATTTTCCAATTTCTTAAGTATCTCCCCACATCAGACTGTTGGGTATGCCCTGTGCTACTACACAATACAACTATTTTATGAAACTATATACAACTATGTTGAATGCTTCAAGTTAACCATGCAACCAGTTCAGACATTTAGCAGAATATGAAAGTAAAATGCTGCCTTTACTCTTTTTTCCGCCAAATAACCATGAATAAAATTAAGTTAACAGGAGCAAAAGACACACCAACCCTTCTTCATAAAACCCCAACATCCCAATCCTAAATTTGTTTTCTTGAGAGATGGACATTTGGTGCTTCACATTCATCCCTTGAAATCTTCTGAAATTCTCTGATGAGCACCACCTCATAACTTTTCTTTGTTTGAACCATACACATTTTGTTTAAAAAATAAAGCTTTGAGTGTTGAAGCTTTGTTATTATGAATAGGTTAATAAAACAAGAGGGCTGAGAGAAGAGGAAATTCTCTAAAATATGAAAAGAAAATATATCAGTGTAATTTTACCTGCATATCTCCCTGAAACATCTTTTTAAAACCTCAACCTGACAGGAACAATAAAGTCATCTCAATATTTTCACAGAATCTCTTGAGGGGTAGAAGCCTTAAGGAAAGGCCGGCAGGTAAAAGAGTGGGAACATTTCATTACAAAACACGAACATTGGTAATATAGCATGTGCAGGGCCATAGAAGATGCCACAGAGAGGGCACATTGTGGAGCTGATTCATTAACATGCAGGTCTAGGAGGTTCTCTGTAATCTATGTGAGTTCTATGGTGAACATTCTAATTTGGAACTCTACGCATAACTTTTTGAACTGTGGCTTTAAATCAGTGCATGTTGGTTTCTACCCATGCTACCAAAGGACTTAGTGAGCTGGATGCATGTCAATTCAACACACTGAACACAGCAGGAGATCAGCTTCCAGCACACCATCGGAACTGGGCGCCAAAATACAAACCATGAGCTCAGCACATAGTGTGGCTGCCATGGTCTCAAAGGGTAACGTGAGCCAGCTCTTATAAGTCAACATTCCTGGCTTAAATTAAGCCAGGGTTTACAATGGCTTAGCTTTTGAACTTGTTACTAATGCTTAAGTTGTCCTGAAAGTCATGAAGTAATAGTTAAGGGAGGGAAGACTTTAAGTATACATGGGTACACTACCTTTCCTTAACCTCTGAGTGAAATGCAAGCAGCCCTCAGAGAACTGAGACTTGGCATGGCTCATTGGATGAAACATGCACTTTAACTTGGGATCTCTGCGTTCATTGGCTTCTTCGCACAAAGCTCCCTGAGGACCAGCTCATATGTGATATTAAAGACTACAGGTACTGAAGCCTTCCACGTACAACACCCACTTACAGGATGATACAACCACCAGCATCCCTGACCATTGGTTGTGCTGACAAGGACTGACGGGAGCTGTAGTTCACAAAATATAGAGAGCACCATGTTGGCTATTTCTGCTGTTGACCATTAAGAATTAACAATTTCCAGCTGCACAAAACTGGGATGCCACAGTACAAATTGAAAACTCAGTTTTAAACTAAAATGCAACCCAAATGTTTTCTCCCTCTCCTCCCCAAAGCAAAACATTGCCTCTTACCCTGCTATTGAACCCATCAGCATTTTGAGTAATTTTGTAGAGCTGGGGAAACCTAAGCATGTTGTCTTGCGTGCACGATCGCTCAAAGATTCCCAAGGTGAAGGGAGGCAATGCCGTGAAAATCTAGAGAAAACAAAGGAAGTAATTAAAAACAACAAACCATCAACTTTATAAATAAGCCGCAGAGCATGCTTCGTACCTGGGAGAAAATCCTGACACTGTTAAAAACAATAGCAGCAGGTCTGCTAAATCGCCAGTGCTGAATACAGTGCTGTACAGTTCAAAGCACAAGAGCTTTCACAACTGGAATGCTGGGAACAGCAAAGCAAAAGGCTGCCAGTGATCCAGTGAGCGAGCTCCATGGCTGCAGGTTGGGTTTCCTTGTTGCTGACGACAGAAAGGGTCAAAGGGTTGGGAATTAGGAATGGGCAAATATGGACAACTGAAAAACTGAAATTGATAATTCTGTTCTGTACATTTCCACACCGGTTTGCAATTTTTATTTTTAAACGTCCTCATATAAATTCATCAGCATTTGGGTGCAAATTTCTCCTAATATGCACGTTTTTGTATGCAGTTTTGCCTAATACAATTTTTGCAAAGCAATTTTCCATAATGCATTTTTTTCTATGTTGCTTTCACTAATATTTATATGCACACTTTACTCCTAGCACATGCACTTTTGTACACATTATGACTGGAGCACGGCACAACAAAATTGAGAAAAAAATGTGAGTTTCAAAGGATGGCTGTGTTTCAGTTTGCATATTAGAAAGTGCAAATTAGGTTCACTTTTAAATGAGAAGTGAATCAAGATTTCTCCACCATTCCTAGTTAAGAGACACAGGGGTCTGCAATTGTAGTAAGCAATGGGACTCCAAAATACGTCTGATGCCTTGGATAATGGCCAAAAGGAGAGCAGACAACCATTATCACATATTTTAGAATATGTGAAGCAAATGAGGATTGATGACCTCAGCCTCATTCATATAAAGTCAAATGACCTATTTTTATTTCTTGCAAATTTATCATTTAATTCCAAAGGATTTATATCCTTCCTTTCAACAAGTATTTCCAAGGCAGCTAGCAAATGTTTTAAGTAAATGCATGTTTAACAGCCAAAGGAGCCTGTGGATCACACGGAGTCTAAATCAATCTTCAGCTGTTCTTCAGGAAAGAATCCAGGAAGGAAGGAGGCAAAGATAACATGAAGTGCCTGCTCCTGCTGGACTATCTCTTCCTCCATTCCAGAGGCATCTACCACTAGGTATCCTGTGGGAAAGGGTCCGGGTGAGTTTCTGTTTTAATTTTTGCCACGTTCAGACATCACGCTAAACCACAGTTTTAACTTCTTGTACAGTCGTACCTTGGATCCAAAATGCCTTGGAACTCGGACGTTTTGGCTCCTGAATGCCACAAACTGAGAAGTGATTGTTCCGGTTTGTGAATGTTCTTTGGAACCCAAACATCAAATGGGGCTTCCACAGCTTCTGATTGGCTGGAGGAGCTTCCTGCAGCCAATCAGAAGCCGCGATTTCAAACATTTTGGAAGTCGAATGGATTCTGTCCAACTTCCAAGGTATGACTGTATATTTTAATGTATTGTATCCCTCCCCCCGATTTTATGGTTTTATTTTTTTGTAAACTACTCTGATGGTTTTTTAAAAAACAAAAAACGTTCAAGCGTTGCATAAATGTTATGAAATAAATGAAATAAAATAAATCATTAAAACATCTGGAAGGCCATAGATCTCTGCTTTAAAGTGATGCTCAAAGGCCACCATTGTCTTACTGTGATTTACGATTGGATTTTGACTTGACTTGCAAGCAGTCTTGGGACAATCCATGATCTTAAAGGAGGGGCATAAATGACTGAAATAAACAAGCAAGTAAACGTATTCTGCTGTCTTGTTTGTGCCATGTGTAGCATCCCTCCAATGCTCTTTTAGAATCATGCAAATACAGCATGTCTTATGATGACTGGGCTGCAGTCACAAGCATAATCACTTCAAAGTAATTTCCACCAATTATTAATGGGACTTATTTTCCAAGAAGATATGTGTAGAACTGAACAGTAAATTAGCTGAATTTACTATTGATTCCAAATCTGTACATCCATCACATTTTTATACAATCTGTGATAAGCTACACAGAGGAAAAAAGGCAATTTCCCCATTTTGCATTTTATTAAAAAGGAAGCTGCAGAGCCACGAAACAATGAGAACAGCTTTGAGGAACTGGCCACTTTCCTTACTGAAATATTCAGATCTTCACATAATTAGATGGTTGAGGGATAATACTGTAACTACCAGATCAAGATGGTTAACTGATGTGTACTGTTAACCACCTGTTTAACAGAGGTAAGAAGACTACAACCATTTGTTGCAGGTGCCTGTTTCCAATCAATGTGTGAAATTCAGCAAGTGGCCCACAATCATTAGGTTCTTTTGTTCTTTTAGTATTCCCTGGTGACAATTCTGGATTGACAGCTTATGCCAGAAGAGCAGACTTCCCTCTTCTAGGAAAGAAAGCCCTCTCTGAGTTTAAACATGGCAATCGTGTGCTCCCCCTGGCTTTTTAGTGTCTCCCTTTCCCATTCTTTCCTTTGTCTCTTCCATCCTCAGGCTTCTGTATCTTCTGGCAAAACTACAAATTACACAGGAAATTGACTGGATTGGCTCTGCCAGTGCATTTGCACTGTGATGCCCTCACCACTGTCTCACCCCCTCCTGATATGCCACAGCAATGGGGAAGCTGGAAGGTCAGGGAAGCAGCACTACCCCACCAACTGTGGGCTCAAAAAAGTCCACTGTCATTCTGTATACACTCTCACACATATGCAACAACAACAACAACAACAACAATCTTTATTACGGTCCAGAGACCAACAAAACATTACAAATCAATACAGAGTTCATACAGCCTACCTCCAAGTTAATCAAGCACTTTGTTTGGAATATAGGGCTCATTTGTTCTTGCAACCACCAATAAAAACTTTGCCACTGCCAACGTTCTAGCTTTTGTCCGGTCTTCCAGTAGGAACCTGACATAGTGAGCCTCTGACTTTCCCGGGAAAGGCACCAGCAAAGGGTAGTATCAGTTCAGCCCTGGCCTGCTCATATTTTGCACAATGTAACAAAATATGATTTATGGAATCGATGTCTTGAGCACACGAGCAAAGTCTGTCCTGGTAGGGAACTCCTCTCAACCTACCATCCAGCACTGCAGAGGGGAAGACATTCAGTCTGGCCTTGGTGAAAAGCCTTCGATAGTTAGGTACTGTCAGGTTTTTGATGTAAGATGTTAACTCAAAGACATACCCATATTGAACTCCTGCTGCCAGTGGACTACAGACTGCGTGTGATTGAGATCGCAAGTCACTGTGTGCATTGTCCCATAATCTTTGCTTTAAAACCTTTTGGGCGCCTTCATAGCCCAGGTAATACAGTTGGGGGGGAGACAGACCAATAGAGGTGGCTTTTTTAGCCATGGTTTTCTGCCATTTGCTGACAAATTCCTCATTGGTCAAATGTTGGTACAGACCCTTCCCTAGATTAAACACTGAAATCCTGAGCCAATGTCTTAGGGCAGCCCACCACGCTCTAGCTGAAATTGGGCATTCACCAGCTTCCAACAGAAGTACGGAGTTGGGGACGCAGTTAGGTACCTGCAGCAGAGATCGTATAAATTTTGCCTGAAAGCCATCTAGCTTTGGCAGGTCCCCATTATGCCAGACATTTGCTGCATACAGGAGTTGGGAAACGGGCTTTGCGTTGAAAACCCTTAAGGCTGCTGGAACATATTTGCCGCCCTTTGTGAAGAAGAATCTATGTATGGCTAGCTTTGTAATCTCCGCCTTTTGAAGGGAGGTTTGCCAATGGTGCTTCCAAGATCCTGTATGATGGAATGTGAGCCCTAGGTAACTGAAGTATTTTACCTGTTCAAGGTTATGGCCATCCAGCACCCATTTAGACTGGGAGAATCTTCTTTCGAAGACTAAGATTTTAGATTTTTCATAATTAATGGATAAACCATTTCCAGAACAGTAATCAGAAAATTTCCTCAACAGATAATTCAAGCCCGGCCTGGAACGCGAGATGATGGCTGCGTCATCAGCATACAACAACAAAGGGGTCCTTCTCATTCCTATTTTTGGAATGTGTCCATCTGTGTCCATTAAGTTCTCTTCTAGGTCATTTAAGAATAGACAAAACAATGTGGGGGCTAAAATACAACCCTGTCTCACCCCCCTATATATCATACATATATATGATATTTTCATAATGAAGCTGCATTATTCTCATTCTGGAATGCTTCTTTGGTTGGTTTCTAATATTTTCTGATCCTGTGTTGTCAGCTTTTATTTTTATTATTTGGTTTTGATACTACTGTTTTACTGTGTTTTGTGACCGTTGCCCACTTTAAACTTTTTATGAAAAGGCAGAATACCGACAATTTTAATGAACAAATGAACTAATTATTTAATTAAAGCCATTGGAGGATAATGCTGAGTACATATTTGAAATAAGATTCATGCTTAAGAGCAAAGCTGTCTGCAATTTCTCACAAACCAGTGCCACCCCTTACCTCCCATAATGAAAGTTGTACATCATTTGAATTTTCTTTACCCAGACTTATATCTCCTGCACTGTATTTACGTTCAACCAGCTGTCTCTAATTATATACCATTTCTATTTATTTTCTTTGCAAAAGGGGGGGGGGGGAGAGAAACCAGTTCCTTTTTTAAAAGTTTGGAGTTTGATTCCTGCCAGAAACATGTAAGAAGCCTGGAGAATGCAGGTGAAGATCAGCTCCAACAAAGGGCCGGCTATTCCTGGGGATCAGTAACAGCAAGAACATTTCCTAGCTCCATGATGTCATCCATCTCCTTTGAATTAGTCACAAAGCAACACACCAGATGGGGAGCATTCTGTATTCTTATGCGTTAGATGAGAGCCAAGACTAATGGGCAGCTCATATGATTGACTTTCCCGGCTGTGTCCGCATGCATGAGGAGCAAGTCGCTCGTTCCTTGCCTTGGGATTGCCCTGGTCGCAGCTGCCGGCTGAGCAATTGTGGATCTTGAGGGAGGTGGCTATTCCCACGAGCCGTTTTTGTATAACAAGGCCTTTGGGATACACTAATCCATCCCCTGTACGTACCACACGGTAATACTGATGTGGGGTGTGTATGTGTCCCATCAATATTTTGGAGAGGTTCACATGTTTTCTGACTGTTGTCACAATTTCTGTGACACCTTAAAGACTAGCATATTTATTGGGGAAGACTTTTGTGTGTGAATTACAGCCCACTTCTTTAGATGTGTCTGATGAAGTAGGCTTTTGAGTTTACAAAAGCTTACACCATGATAAATCTCTTTTAAAAGTGCTATGGGGTTGCTGTTTTTTGGTGGCACCTCCAGTATTGCTGCAACAGGCTAACACAGTGGTAATTGAAGCACATCGCTTCTTGCTTATACTTTAACTGAGCCAAAGTATCTTAGCTCACTATAACCAGTGAAAGACCACAGGGTAGTCGTGAGGTTAAACATGTTGACACCAAACTGCTTTACAAATTTTCAGCGTTCTGGGGAAATGATTAACGTAAGCTGATTTGGTGTTTGATGGGGTTACTCCCAGATTGCAATCCTATACACACTTATTTGGGAGAATGCCCTATTAAACTCAACGTCTTCAGCACACCCTCTTCCCTTATCTGCTGTGATACAATATTACGGTCATGCACATATTATCTGTGCAATCTTCCACTGCATTGTTGATTCAGGGAGATGCAATTCCGAATTTGCTGTCTGATTGCATATCTAATTGAATGAGTCTGGGGTTTGGACAAAAGAGTGGTATCAACTGGAGTGGAAAGTAATGAAACTCTTTAACTGAGTTTATGAATAATATTGTAAATTCATGTTCTTCAGAGAGCAACCGTAAGCTCCTGAAAAGGGTGATGGTCATATTGTAGACTTTTATGGTCAGTGAGAGAGATCAGTGGTTGGAGGTCATTGCTGGTTCTGCCACCATTGTTGATTCCATAAGGCCAAAAACAAGGCATTTAGGGAGTGTTAGAAATAGATTGAGGTGGGGCTTTCCAACAGCTAAATCTAGAGCCCCATTTCTTCCCTGGAATTGGCATAGAAAAAGGGAAAAAATAAAGGGGGAATCTGTACCCCACTTTCTGCACTGGCTGACAAGGGTCTGGCAGGGCTTTGGAAATGGCGGTTCTCCTGACATGGATTCTTTGTTGCTGCTCCAAATTAGAATGTGCCAAGTACTTTTATTTTAATTTTTGCCCTCAAATCTAAGGCAGAGCAAGAACAGCTCCCACTCCCCCCCCCCGCCAGTTACTCGCAATGCATATACAGATGATCAGTAGAGATAAACTACATAGACATAAACAGCAGTGGAATGCCATCCGGGCTCTGTATGTTATCAAGCTGAGACGTGGGACACTTACCACATTGTAGAGGCCAATGCACCACCGCTCAAATAAAATCTGCCCAGAAAATCCATTAACGAATGCAAACCAAAGCTGAAATAGAAGAAAGTTACACAAGGCTTTAGATCAACAGGCCACAAACATTCTTTCTATGCACTGAAGAAGAGGAGAGTGTGCAATGTGGACATCATCTGGAGACAGCTGCTGGGTGGGTTCTAAAAATAAGTGCTCACAGTTGTTCTCTTTTAAATAGAGCCGCACTGCTGAAGCGATGGGAGGCAATCTGTAGAATTTGCATCATTGCACTAAAATAACAAATCTTTTGTAAACTAGTATGAAGATCCCTTGGTCCTGGAAAAATTCTCTTTAATCTTAGGTGTTTATATCCTGTTGAATCCCTTGCAGACGACCGCAGTGCCTGGAGACTGACAGTCAAGTTGTGTATCCACAGCAGTGACCAGAGAAGGAATGACCACTGGGAGGAGCACAGAGAAAATGAACGCCATGGTGCACCTGTAGCAGCACAACTGGATACCTTCATCTGCCCCACCTGCAAGAAAACATGTCTCTCCTGTATTGGTTGTGGAGACCACAGCAGGAGCTGGAACTCTTCAAATGTTTGACTTTTCCCCTGAGGGTGCACACTCTTCCATTGTCTCCTGAGACAGATGGATGCCAACAACAATTATCTAAGTCCTTAAGAGGTGTACTCTTCTTTTTTTAAAGCATCCAATGGATTAAAATTAATCACAAAAACAGAAAACTTCCTTAAAGTGTCTGCTGAAAAAGGAAGGTACATGTCAGGTGCTTGAAGTTCAACAGGGAGGAAGCCAGTCTAATCTCAGCCAGGCCAGAGTGCCACAGAACTAGGCCCACAACACTGCATGCATGGCTTCTGGTGGATAAAAAGGTAAAGGTAAAGGGACCTCTGACCATTAGGTCCAGTCGTGGCCAACTCTGGGGTTGCGGTGCTCATCTCGCTTTATTGGCCGAGAAAGCCGGCGTACAGCTTCCAGGTCATGTGGCTAGCATGACTAAGCCGCTTCTGGCAAACCAGAGCAGCGCACGGAAATGCCGTCTACCTTCCCGCCGGAGCAGTACCTATTTATCTACTTGAACTTTGTTGTGCTTTCAAACTGCTGGGTTGGCAGGAGCAGGGACTGAGCAATGGGAGCTCACCCCGTCGCGGGGATTCGAACAGCTGATCTTCTGATCAGCAAGTCCTAGGCTTTGTGGTTTAACCCACAGCGCCACCCGTGTCCCTTTTCTGGTGGATACACCTACACAAAACCAACCAAATGGCCCAGTAAAGGCACTGCCCTGATTTGGGATTGGGTGGAATTTTTCCTTATGGACTAGAATACACCACCCTTTTACTCTGAGTTCAGACCAGTTCTGGTTAGGCCAAGCTGTGTTGGATCTGTGCTGCTGTATTATAAACCTATGCTTCTGGAAAATCTGTAAGAAAACAGAGCTCTACAGCTGGAGATCAGCCGTTGAGAATAGCTCTCTGCATGCCCTTGCAATTAATACTTGGTGCATGGATAGTATGAGCCCCAGGTGAAAGTCAGCATGGTGTTACAGCAGCAAACACGGACACTGAAGTAATCTGTCCTTTTACTCGTGGCTCTTCAGATATCATGCCCCAAGCATGGTAGAAACCCATGTCTATCCAGGCATTGGTGTAAATCAATCCCTTTTCCTTCCTGACTGGGAAAGGATGGCAGTGTGCAATTAACATTCCACTTCCCTTACTTCTGCCCTGCTAATAAGAGCTCAGCAGGATGTTGAGCTCATAGGAGCCAACTCCTAGGGGCTAAGGGCCCTTCAATCTCCCCAACAAAATATTTGAGGGGGCTGTCCTCCCAAACTTGATGGGCATTGCCATTCAGATGGGGTGTGTGCCATGTCATGTGATCAATTATGCAGGGTGGGGCATACCTGGGCTCTGCCAATATTTTATTCAAGTTGGCACCCCTGGATGAGCTGCCCTGAGACTGCAGTCTTTAGGACCAAGACATTACATTTTACTGGGAGGCACCAATTCTGCTACCTTTGTACTGATTTTCATCTGCCATTCTGTGGCATCACTTCTCCCACCCCAACCAGGTATTATGAGATTGTTTTATAACTCTTCTACCTGCTTTCTTAGACAATACTGGCCTATTTGGTACTTAAAAAAAGAAAACTTTGCTGAAAGATTTATGCTGTATCCTTGGATCAATGTCAACTTTACAGAGAGTTGCTGGGATATGTTTCTGACTCTTCCAAACATTAACCTCCTCTAGGAAAAAAAAAAAAAGAGGAATCTGGCTTTGCTACACAAATATCACTTGTAACATTTTACGGAGCGTCCTGAACTCATTTTTATCATTTGCAGGTGCTGCTGGGAATTTTATGGGCAAAACCAAAATCTTTTGAAACCACATCCAATTCTGGAAAACTGTATTTTATAAAAAATAATCCTCTGCTGGATAATCAAACCCGCTCACTTCAAGGGAGTTACTATGTAGATGGGCCCAAACCACCACCACCAACAACAACAAAATGAGGATTTTTTTTTAAAGGAAGAAACTGGTATTCTAAAATGGAACTATTACATGGTATTTATTTATGCAAGAACTGCACAGGTGGCAATGAACCATAATGAGGACACAGTGAGCTTTTCGTGTCTTAACCAGGATACGTGTGTTATACATTCTTCTTCAACACTGGACAAAGTTGTCGTGATTATGCCGCGTTATAGAAAAATGGCGTATATACTAGCATTGTAGAGTTTTCCCTTGTCAACCGCCAATCAGCACAAAGCGTTTGTGTTCTGTTTACCTAAATCAGATGTGGGGAACCTTTGGCATAACTTACAAACTGTCCTGAGTAGCTTGCAAAGAGCTTGTTGTTTGTGGAGACTACATATGCAATGTTCTCAGAGATATAAGGGGGGGGGGACCCCATCTGCCTTCCTTCTCCAGGTCCCAGTTTTAACAAGAAATGCTAACTGCCTTTAAAGCTGTGCATGCTGGAGACTGCCCGCAGTTGACTCACGACTCGGTGAGTCGGTCGGAAAGCTTGCCAAGTCTAGCTCGCCTTGCCAAGCTCCTGGGGAATGCAGCCCACAACGGCGGCACTGCTATGAGCAAATGGACCCAGAGTTATTAAACGGCTTTTCTGATTTGGGAAAGGAGCACTTTTTTGCTCCACTTAACTGTTGCCTGCCTGTCAGAAATGCCAGGGCCGCTTATTTATAACACAATTACAAAATGAAAGGGCTTCTCTGAGTCCACGTTAGAGGGTCTTATTCAAATGCAAGGGAACTCAAGAGCTAAGACTGGAAATCCAGGTTGACATGCTCTCATTACCTCACCTTATTATGGCTGACGTAGCATAGATCTGAGATTAGCTGCAACATCTATAAGAAATGGAGCGTGTGAAATGACGAGGGAGGGCACAGTTCCATATGGAGAAAGAGGCCCTCCATTTTGCAGATTTGCTAGTTTTTGTGTGTGTGTTTGCTGTTTTTGCATACAGTACAACCCTAAACATGTTCGCTCAGAACAAACTTTCAGTGGCCTGGTCACACATAATGTAAAACTATGGTTAAGGTTAACCATAGTTAAAGTTGAGGCATCAGGCAGACAACCTATTAAACACTGATTTATTACATCACAGAGATAGTGCTTTGATTTTTATTTATTACCACTCTTCACTTTGTGGCTCTGTAGCTTTTGGGTAGTGGTGGCTCCTTAACCACAGTTAAGAATGAGATTTGGGTTCCCAAATAACACTATGCTACAGTTAACATTAATGAAGGTTTATAAGCTGACCACAAAATATTGCTTAATAAGGAACCTTTCACCACAACCTAATAAAACATAGTTCGGCTGCTGCTCTGGATTCACACATAACACTAGGACATGGTTTAACAAACTATTAAATGTGATTCAGATTGCAGTCTTTAATCCTTAGGCAAAATTCATACCTAGTGTTTGGCACCTTGATCTGCACCTCTGGGTGGCTATGACTACAAATTCTGATGGTGGATTTGTAAGAGAGGTAACAGTGCACAAACCTGACCCAAAGCCATGCCTGCTGGACCTGGAAGTCTGCAAACATTTTTAGCAGGGTGGTGCTGTAGGCAAAACAAACACCAGCAACTTTGAAGTGAGCATGCACGTAGAATTTTGTGTCAGGGACTATTAAAAACCCCTCAACCAACCTGTACCATGAACTCCTACCTTCCAAAATTCCACCATCTTGGTCACTCATCTCATCCTGCCTGTTTTGAAGAATAGCTACAATGCTATCTCAGAACAGCAAGTCTAACTAGGTGACCTCTGGTTTATATGTGAATTTATGAGACGGGGCTCTTGTCCTTTAAGGCATAAGTCCAAATGGCCATTTGACAAAGAATGTTTATGAATCAATATCCTTTTTTATTTTATTTTTTATAATGCCACAAGCCAAATGCAAGCTGGTGACCTAGAGGTGAAAGGTCATGGCCTGTTGCCGATTTCCTGAGCCACAGAGCTCACACACCTGCCTTAGAATGCATTTTAATAAAAATCAGGAAAATATGTATTCATAAAATGGCCTCACTTGAACAAGTTCCTAAGTTATTTTAATTGCAATTTACGGTTTTACACATAATTATTATGGAGCATTTAATGCTTGAAATAGTAGGAACTAATTTGTTTAAGCGCTTGAAGGTGCTGGGATGGCAAATTGTCTCTTCTAAATGTGAACATTTATGATGTCTTGATAATAGGCAGCTTACCAAGGACTAGAAAGCTTTTCCCCAATCCTGCTAAAGGGCATGGAAAGCTGATGTAATCAGGGTATCAACAATCGCCACAGGCACCAATTACAGGCAGGCTGGATACTGTACAGAGAATGTGTTAAATTCTCAATATAGGCTCTCCTTCTGCACACATTTTGCATGCCTTTGCCAAATAAGCATTTAAAAAACAGTTCTTTTTTTAAAAAAACCGGCTAATAAAGCATGTTTGTTTATCTCATATGCAGTTCACTAATAATCTATCCTGATTAAAATTCTCTTTGTGACAGAATTTCTCAATACCAGCATCATGCCCTGCTCA